TTTGTCTTCCCTGGCACTCTTCACTCTTTTGTTCAGTGTATTGTAGCTTGCATTCAACTCCTGTTTTTGTTGCTCGTCGGTGCACTGGATAATCTTTTGTTTCACCATCCTTCTCCCTTCTATTAGTTTCCAAGTGGCCGTAGTTAGCCACTGTTTGTCCTGCCTCCTCCTTCTGCCTAGGACTTCCATGCAGGTTTGACTCCACACCATTTTCAAGTTGTCCCAGTGCTTTTCGACGCCGACCTGTTCGCTAGTGTTGATTTGTGCCTCGGCTTTTTCCCTTATGCTTGCAATGAAGATGTCCTTTGTAACCTGGTCCTTCAGCTTTTGAGTGTTGAACTTGGCTTGTGGTCTATCTGCAGCTCTTGTTTCCCTGAAAGCTTTTAATTTGATTTGGATTGTCCCTTGTACGAGATAGTGGTCTGAGCCAACGTCTGCTCGTCTTCTTACTTTTGTGTCCAGTAGGCTGCGCCTCCACTTCCTTGAGCAGTATTAAGATGAGGTCAATTTGGTTTTTGGCTCTCCCATCTGGTGACGAAACCCACAAACTCAATTAGAAATAAGCTTTGTAAGTTAAAGGATCACTCCTGTGGAGCCTTTAAAACAAAACAATTTAGTTTATCTAATACCCTCTGGGAATGATTGTCAGGTCAAATACATAAGTCAAAGTAGCGGAACAGGGGCAGACAGACTAGTCGATCATAAAAGCCTAGCAGAATCTAGATTAGTTGACCCGAATAAGATAAGAAATCTAGAGAATAGTTCAGCTATGGCACTCACTACATGCAGTTACACACAACCTTAAAATAGTCTGGGATAGGATGACAGTTTTAAAATCTAATGTCACAGAGTGGAGGGAGATATTGATAACAGAAGCTTTGTTTATCGAATCGACTGTATATACGTGTAATAGGAATGATTCAACTCCTGTCCACCCAGACATCTGGAAAATAGGAAAGAATAAAGAAAACTATGAAACTCAAGTTTTGAAGTTGTGTAATTATAACTGGTATGATTATGAATAATAAATTGTGTTTGAAACTTTATCATCCAGTAAATAATACTGTTTTAGAGTGTGATATATCTCATAAATAAATTAACATGGAACAACGTCGAAGTCATCAACAGAATCTTGTTAGAAGAGTACGAACCAAGCTTCTTCAGGCCGCAGAAGCGGTTGCAATTCACATGTTAAATCCTGAACTCTGCATCCTGGAGAATTTTTTGATTCTTAACACCGGATAAGTAATTTTCGTTTTGCTTTTTATTGTATAACTTCCTTTCCTCACCCCCCCCCCACTAACCTTCTACTTCCTATAACCTCTGTTGTTAACCTGACTCTCGTTTAATTTTAGTTGAGTTTTACACAATCCGGACAATTATATCGCGTCATTGAATTTACTTTTCTAACTTTAGTTGAGTTTCTAACCCATTTAGCGCTTTTTTGAATATTACTTAATTTGTTATCTACAATTTACAGTTCTTCGGACACATCTTTGGAATAATAACAATGAAGAGAGTGGCTCTGCGCTGAACCTTTCTTCTATTTTAAACCCCAATGACTTTTGGGACTACAGTCGCCTTAAGTCCAGAAGCTTTTATGCCAACCTCTCCTGTTAAATCTAAGCACCTGAAAGTTATTAGCTTTTAACTCCATCCCTTTTACGTCTTTAGTTCTCCTTGTCCAACAGTGGTTAATATTATCGTGGGAATCCTTTTCTGATCTACACTTAATCTTCTGTCACCTTTAATCTAGATGAAAACCTGAGTGTATCTACCAACGTGCATTTACTGAAAAGCAGAAATCATCTAACACTTTCTTGCTTTTTTCTGAAGGTTAGCCACTGCCTCTGGCATAATTTCAAGATGTTCACAGACACTTATCCATATAACAGTGACCAAGTTTAGTTCTTATTCGTTATAAGTGGTTAGCTTGTGCTTTTAATGCATGCAGTCTCAGTTTTCAATTACTATGACTATCCAGATAAAGACAGGCAGTCATCCAGTTCACGTGCTTACCGTTGAATTGGCTTTGGTTACTGCTGGCCTAGCGAATACATTTTTATTTCTAAACTTGTATCGTTACAGTCCTAGAAGGCAGGTATCCTTATGAGTTCTCCATGTCTCGAACTGTGGTGAAGATATTATAAAAACTTTCTGTCCGTCTGACCTAGTTTTTACCATACAGAAGTCTTGAAATCTTCCGTCTGTTCCAGTTTGATAAATGTACCTAAAAAAAACTGCTACGGCATAGATCGTGGTAAATTATGAAACAAGTTTTTGTCAATGAATAGTTTATAAATCCAGAATACTCTTTTTTATCCTATCTGATACTCAGCTATTTTTGGCAATGTCCCTCCCAGGAATCGAACTCAAAACGTCTTCATTTCGGTACAGTGAAGTTGCTTGACAACCTAAAACACAAATTTACACAGCTGTAGAATGCTTTCCAACCACGCAGGTGGTTTGGGGGCCGATTCCCGGCCAACAAACTCCTTCACCTCCTTTTTCTCTCGAAACCAGTAATAAGACTGGTGGAGAGGGAAGGTTGGGCATGAGGCTAGCAACCCCATCCTGTAAAAATAAACACCACTGCTACCGAAAGTTCAAGCATCTAGCTTGAAGTCCCACGTTCCACTGGGAAGGTAAAGAATTGAAAAAAAATGATGTGGCTTATATTTTTTATGGCATGGAGCTGCAAGCCTAACGCTCAAATCTCCCTCTTTACTGGGACTAATAGAGGCCTACAAAATCATCTCTGATACTCGATATAGGATTCCCAAATGTGTACTTATTGAAATCCTGTGTCTTCTCTCTTCTCTTTGATTCCTCTGCCTGAAATACTCCATAATTTCTGGAAAATAATTCACAGATTGTCCCTTCTTATATTGAAAGAAAGAATGTGAGAATTACCTCAGAGTACATTGATTTGAAAAGTCACAATACTGGAATGACTGGAATACTGAATACATGTGTATATTTTAGGTGAGAAATACTCAACTGCTTATGCTTGTGATCATCTTATCTCCTCTCTCTACCTTGGTAGAAGAATACTTCACTTTTAACTGAGCAGTCTCCGTAGACGTTCTACAGTTTACTCTGTAGCATTTGCTTAAGATTTTATTTTGAATGATATTCGGTTGAATCAGATATCAATTCCCTCTGATATACTTGTAACAACAGAAGACAAGGGCCAGGCAACAGATCGTTTTATTACGGAAATCAACACGTATGTATATTAATTTCACATACGTTATTATAGCCTAGTCAAGTAGACAAACACAGTCTTCTGATTGGTTGTTTTCGAGTTCCTCGGAAAGTGGAGCTATCTATCTGCGAATCATATTTGCCCACGTTTAAGTTTGCTGTGATTGGTTGTTGAAACAGCCTTGTTTATATTTTCTCACTGCCCATATTAGTGATCCAGACATTGATGTAGATTAATGTCAACCAATTGGCTATCAGGCTGCTCTCACCACATACTGACTAACTTGCTCGCTCAATAAACCTTCTAATGCATCATAACAGCCGACCATAACTGATTATATTTATGCTCTTAATTCAAACCTAACTTCGTGGATTCAAGTTCTAGGATATTTTTAAGGAACTAGGGTGTACTTGTTCTCTAGCCGATGTCACCTCGTGATAAAACTTGAAACAAATAAAATCCCTGCAAATAAACTTTTGAAAATTATTCTGATGCTGGCTGGTGCCTGACTACAGGATGAAGTTGACCGAAGGGAGTTCTAGTGAGAAGTCGGGTTCATTGTGGTTCATCATGTAGGGCATGGGGTCAGATATTCGCCCATAATATTACCTGGTGGTTGCGCTAAGTCACGAGTTGGTAGAAGTTGGAATTCATGGACTGGCGATCGGTCATTGAGTCTGAGTCTGAGGATAGAAACAGCTGTCCAGTACTCCTTGGTTTTCCAGTGGTTCTCCAACTGAGTTCAGATTGTGACTAAACACCTGTCGAAGTGGGACAGTATACTGTTGTTTTCTGTGTGTGACTCTATCATCACATATCACTTTCCCATTGGTTTCTCTTTCATTTTATATGACTCGTGATCGCCTGGCTTACTAGCACGTCCTACCTGTAGAAACACGGGGAAGGTTAGGTGACGGCTACTGAGATACCTGTAAACTAGGATTTGGGAATATAGAGACTACAGCTGTTACCAGCTGCTATCACGAGAGAGAGCGAAGAAACACATATTTCAGAGTTTCATGGTATTATTATTATTATTATCGTGTACGAGTGGAATACATTACTTGTTTTCTTCCTTCAGGCGGCAATACGGCCTTCATACAACTCGTGTAACGTGTAAAAAGCAAACATGTAAGATGGTAGGAGGCAGTCGGACGGATGCTGTCGAGTTCTCCTGCTTGTTGACACTCACCAGTCAACAAGGCTTATCTGAAATCTTCAAAAAACTTATCCTTCTTCTGATACTCGAACTCTCTGTCACCCAGTGAGTGCTGCAGTCAGGGACGTTACCATTGAGCAATTTAGCCTGGCAATTGAAGTCGTGTAGGACTATATTATTAGATACTAGCGCTGCACCTCTAGCCCTTGGTTTTCGTGCAGACTGAATTGTACTAGCCGCCAATTTCGCAGTGTGATCACCAATGGACTAGGTGGGTCGCTAATACAGTCCACTTTCAATTGTTTTTATTAGGTCGTTGGAGTCAATCGGAGTCAATCAAGTGCCAACAAGCACTGGACCTAGGTTCAAGGCTTCCAGCCGATCGCCTTTAACCATCTAATAATAACAACAGCAATTCAAAGTGAATCATGTTGGTGAGCCTCCAGCGAGTCTGTTGGTGGCCACACTGCCAACTTGTGACTGTGACAATAGAATTCAGTCTACACCAGACCACCAAGGACTAGACGCCTGACGACACGATTTCCCTACTACCTACCTGGTGTCTAATTCACAACACAAATGTTGTAACATGAAGTGTTACTAGAAGAAGCAAAAAAGAAAAAGAAAAGAGATTAAAACTACACAGGCTATTTTATTGTTCCCAGAATTTATTGAATGATTCTCACAAACTCATTACATGGATTTATAGATATATAGACAGATAGACATATATAATTTGGATAGATAAACAGACAGGCAGATAAATCTATCACGTGATTGGCTGGTTGATGATGCATTAATGCAACACGAGCAACGACAAACAAAAATGTGAAGGAAATGTACATGTTATAATTGTAATTGTAATTGTATTGTATTGTATTGTATTTACCAGCATGAGATTAATAACTGAAATAACTAGTCAGTTATAACAGGTTAATAGATTTTATATGAATATTGGGTGTCATAAAATTATTATTAGTATTATAATACAATAAAAGTAGCACAATTAGTCGAATTTCTCACGAATATTCTTCATCAATGGATGCATAAGTCAACCAGTTTTTACATACGTACACAGGCGCACACACACACGCACTCAAACGAACAAACAAACAAACAAACACAAAGCATATACTACTCACTAGGCGCTGAAAGAAGTAGTGTTTCTTCTTGTTTTTGTAAAGGAAATAAACAACACTTTAGCATTTAGATTCATGCAAAAGTCACAAAAGTTGAACCATTTCACGGTTTTTGAATCAAATTGCACACACACGCACACACGTGTGTGTGTGTCTACTTGTTCGTTCCACTTCTCTTGTCAACTTCATCATCGTGACTGAAAAACAGTATGGCTGTTCACACTACACTTCTTTTAGATAAAATAAAATGAAAGGTTAAAAAATAATGAATCAAGCTCCATATCACCGAGCTTCCTTCTAAATTAGATGAATACATTTCATTTTTTTGACGTGTTTCATCGAGAGAGACAGATAGAGAGATAGATAGGTAGGTAGATAGAGAGAGAGAGAGACTTAAAGAAAGAATATGAAATGTATTCATACATATATAGTTCACATTCAACACTCAGTAGTGTATTAACAAAAACACAATACAAGAGTACAAGGCTGTATAAAGCGGAATCAAAATAAGCAGCCATAAAGAAATCTGGAGGAAGAGAATGTGGAGAAGGTGGAGCAGGGGAGAAGAACAAGAGTGATCAGCAATCGAAATGACTGGTAAGAATGGTTAATAATGTTGTTTATTAAAAATAGAGAAGCATTCCATTTGGCCGTGGGTATGTATGATGTCGGACACAGTGATTGCCGATGGGTTGGACAAAATGCTTGCTTGCTTGCCTGCCTGCCTGCCTGCATCATTATCTCAATCTTGTGAATATATATATATATCAAAATGTATATGTATGGGTGAGTACACTCTTTCGTGTATCTTCCTGTCTGTCAATTTCACATACATACATACACACACACACAAGCACACTCACCTGCAGCGATACTTATTTCACAACTAGGAACTATTCAAACTGTAGGGGGCAAAAAAAGGGTGTGAAGTGGAGATATCAGAATTTACCAAAATCTTCTTGAGTAATTTACGACTAGCTTTCCTCTTTGAAAAATAAACAATCATTAGTTGTTTTATGCATTGAATAATAATAATAGTATGAATGATTGACATCTGTGGTTCTCCTTCCTTATGCAGAAAGTGTTTATAAATAAATAAATTAAGTGATCAGTAAATGTAATGAACAATCAGGTGAATATGAATAATGAAAAAACAAAAAACAAAAAAAAACAGGGTGAACAGAACCAATACGATAGTGATAGAGTTCAGATAACCTGACACATATTCATCATTTTTGCGATTGTTTATAATTCAAAAAAACAAAACAAAACAAAAAAACTTGTCAAGGAAAAAATAGGGGGGTCAGCAACAGTATTATTATTATTGTTATTATTGGTACCTAGATAAAAGTCAGTGTTTTCATGTGTTTGTGTTTGTGTGTGTGTGTGTGCTGATAGGTAGGTAGGTAGGTGTGTCATTTAGAAAAACAAAATCACTGTAGGAGGACATCTGTCAGCGTATTCATATCATAACTTAATAAATACGTGATTTTGATAAACACACAAAGGTTATTTAAACAAAAGGCATATTGTATAACAAACAGTTGTGTAATTGTTTGTTTGTATGTATGTATGTTTCTGTAGTTATACTTATTGTTCTTGTGCAGTTCCTGAGGTTATTGACACTTCCTCTTCATCTTCAGCTGCAGTTGCTAACTTTGGTCTTGCAGACTGAGCACCTTTCGACTTGGGATCCTCTGCTTGACATTCATACCAGTCTCTATTGTCTTCCAGGGTGTCTAGAACTAACTGAGCACAAGGATGGACAAGATCACACCAGGTTTCCCATAGAGGATGACACACGAAATCAATGAAACTAACCTGTACAGAAATCAATAAATACATAAACGAAGAAGACAATGTATATGTGTATACAATTAGAGCTTGAATAAAACTTGAGGAATTATTATTATTATTATCTCTTTGGGTTCCATGTAGAACATACAACTTTAACAGAATATCTCCATTTCATCCTGTTCTCCGAAATCCTCTTCATCTGGCCCTACAGCTCCTCATAAACGTTCATCTCCTCCGCATACGATCTCTTCTGTGTCACCTTGGAACCGACTACACAGAACTTGTCTTTTCCTAATCGGTTTCGAGATGTCACCTGTCTGTGTGTCGTCAGCGGGTGTCCGATCTATTCGCATTTTCTTCGACGTGTTTGTTGAACAAAAGGTTCTTGATTGGCTGGTTCCTAGAGTTTCTTGTTTCTAATTCTCTCTGGCTGTCAGATCTTCATTATGGAGCTAGTGAAGACAGCTACACTGATAAAAGTCTACATTAGGCTGTTGAAATTGCCTTTTCATGACGCGTTGGCCATGTTTCTGACCCATATAGAAGCACTGATTAACTTAACACTGGTGTTGAAAATTCGAAACCACGCCTAGTTTACTTGTTCGCTAGTTTTCTAGCAGGTTCCAAGGTCGGGAAAGGAGGCGAGGGTGGGATCGGAGCTAGTGACACTACCCTTGAAAATCAATCCAGTCACTATAGAAACTATGACACCCGGGGAAATACACAACGAAATTTAACTAACTGTATGAACTGACTTAAAACAGTAGTTTACCTTTCTTTGTCAGTATTTCACGTGACCTTCCTGAAACAGTTGTAATAAGAAGTTATGAAAACAGTGTTCTTTGGGGCTTAAATTTTTGAGCCTACACTAGTAGAATAAATAAATGGGTTAGAATGAACAGCCTTCAAGCCGTCCATATTTTAATCATTCATTCAGTCTGCGGTATACGGAGTGATGTATTTATACTTGCTTGATTGGTTGCCATTTATAGTGCCAAGCGGACCACACAGTGTACGTGTGTCATCTGAATGATTTAGGTTTCCAAAAGGGACTATGCATATCACAAATTGCGATTTCACTTAGCGTATCGCCAGTTCGCCTAAATAGCTAGCCAAAATTTCGGCTGGTTTGAATTGCTTCAGCTTTGTGAGATGAATCAGACAGGGTACACTTCTGATGACTTTGAGCTAGAACAAGCGGAACAGCAGTCCTGCCTATAGATCACTTTGCTCTGAATAGTAAACACTACTGGTTGGTGTGACTGGTATATATAATACATATATATATATATATATATATATATATAGCTCCTCATGTCACTGATGAGCGACTTGTGCGTAGAGAGGATTCTCAGACTCTGACAATATGGTATTCGCCATTTTTAGCATGAGTCCATGTGCCTATCTACATGAGAACTAACAAGTTGGTTTAGCGATACCCCATTCGCCCTACTTACAACTTTTAGTGCCCTTTGCAGTGTGACAAACAGAGTGTAGGGGAGCAATAAAGGTAGAATTGGGTAGAATACAAGAATTGATAAGCTGTAATCGTAGAGAGTAAATTCTACCAGACTGTTTTAACTTCCTTACACAGAACTTTAAACGGAATATTTTCCTAGAAACTAACATGATTTAGGAAGGTCAAAGCGAAAGATTAGAGGAAATACGTAATCCAAGGTGTTTACACACATTTAATTTAGTATCAACTTTGGCTCCATTTATGATGACGAAATCATGCGAATGAACCAGTCAGTGTTCACATGCAACAATTTTTCTCTTGTGATAATTATTCCTTCAAAATTACTTCGTAATATTATGCACAAAAAAGGTACAAAATAACTCAACTCACCTGGGATTTTTCAATTGCTACAGATTCACGATCACACATTGGACTAATTTCAAGGGATAGTTTTCTTTCTTTATCCCCTTGTCTAAAGAATTCTTCAATGAGGCGTCCAGTCCACTTTCGATATAATCTTAACGGTTTAGCTGGATTACTCAAATCAGCACAGTGGATCATATTTTGCAAAATCTATGCATCATCACAATGTAAGATAAAAAAATGTTGTTTTTTATATGAGAAATGATGTAAGGATCAAATATTAATAATAGTGAACTTTGCATATTTTAGATAAAAATGTCTTAAGATAACTTGACATTGTGTTAGTGTAACGGCAGAAGACAAGCAGTCAGGCAACAGATCGTTTGGTGAGAAAATTGACAGATATTTAATGGATTTTTATGGACATTATTATTAACGTTATTGTTTAGCAGAGAAGCAACGTCTTCTGATTGGTTATTTTCCTGCTGAAGGTTATTCTGCCATCTCTCTTTGTCGCTGTTTCTTAGACAGTCAGTCGATATATCTGTTAATCGTATCCACCCACGCTAAGTCTGCTGTGATTGGTTGTTGAGTTTTACAAGGTTAGTCTTTGTTGTTGTTTTTGTTTTGCTCATGACCAAGATTTGGGACGTAAACATTGGCGTAAATTGTTGTCTACCAATTTCGGTGAGCAGACTGCTCTTACCACAGTAGTCATGAAGTAAACAGTAGTAACATGAAGATCAGTGAAGATTTTCAGAATTTGAATGCTAAAACGAAACGAATATAACTGCATCACTGAAAACTGTTTCCAGCCATGATACTCACAGTCTCCAGCTGTTGAGTCCCAACTAGCCTGGCTCATTTACCATGGCTTGTTCTGGCCGGCCCTAACTCTTGACCATCCTATTTCTATTTCAACTAACGTTAATAGGTAAGGGCGACGGGGGTTTAGCGGGAGTAATCTTTGTTGTTCCAATCGATACACCTTGACAGGCTCACTGGTTTACTTTTTTGCCTTACCTGAAACTGTATGCATGACCTCACTATTACTCAACATATTCCTTCAACTAACAAAAGAGACTGAATATGGACAACTGTGGTCAGAAACTTCGATCATCGTAGTATCTTCTAACTTTAACGACTATTTCTTACAGATGTTATGAAGGGTAGGACAATAAGATGGATGAATATCACTCCAGACCCAAAGATGACCTAAACTGGGGTTTATCCAACGATACTTTCTCATCTACACTCAAATTTTATTAGTAGTTAGTCCATTAGGGGTGATGCAACCTTATAAATAAGTGGGATGAAAAAGAGATTCTAGTGTTCGAGTATTGGCTTGTAGAGATTTCGTTGATTGACTGCAGGATTTCATCATGAGCTGACATTGGTTGTGGAATAAAGTGATTATTATTATTGGTTAGAGAATCATTGGAAAACCTGCTGCGAGTATTGGACATCTGTTTCGTCCTAGTTTGGGAACTTTCGTCAGTACGCACCCACCGGGGTTCGAACCAAGGACCTTCTGGTTACAAGGTGATTTAACTCGTAGACTATTAAGCCACTGGGACCCGATCCGATGACCAGCCCATGAATTCTAACTTCTGCCAATTTACGATATAGCGCAACTGCTAGGCAATGTCTTTGGCGAGTATTTGATTATCAATGAGATGCTCACTGGCGACTGTCCCTATTCAGGTAGGTTACCTGGGGTTCTGGTGGGAAGTCATGACCTGTAGGGTGCAGCAGGTCGTGTGTGAGGGCAAATACTCGCCGAAGACATTGCCTAGCAGTTACGCTATATCGTAAATTGGCAGAAGTTAGAATTCATGGGCTGGTCGTTGGATCAGGTCCTAGTGGCCTAATGGTCTACGAGCTCACTCGCCTTGTAACTAGGAGGTTTTGGGTTCGAATCCCAGCGGGTGCGTACTGATGAAAATTCCCGAAATAGGACGAAACAGCTGTCCAGTACTCCCTGCAGGTTTTCCAATGATTCTCTAACCAATGTCAGCTCATGATGAAATCCTGTGACCAAAAAGATTCTAGTATCCCTCTGCCCACCCCTAAACTAGGGTCTAGTGCAGACCACTCTTGGAGCATTGTCTTACATTGGAAAGATGGCAATCAAATGTTTACCTTTTTCCCATCTCGGCCACCAGTTATGATATGACCGGTAATAGACTTGGTGGTCTGCACTAATGAATTCCCGATTGGCCAGCCTACTTTCTCATCACATACAACATCTAAAAAGTTCATTTCTGTCCACCCAGTTTTAAGGTGTACTTAGACCACTAGGTAGACTAATACTTTCTATATGATCAGTACTCAACATATAGATTATAAGACGAAAATGTGTTTAGTTTATTGACTGAATACCTTTCAATGAGAATATGAACAATGTCATTTATGTACAATGCACCAATCTTCATGATTTTCACTCGTGGAAAAAAACGAATATTAAGCCTAATTTTTTATAGTTTTGAACTACACCTTAGTAGGCTATGTAAAGTACATCGCTTTTCTGAAACCAACAGAAAAATTGTGGCTTTTTATTGGCGGCTAACTTCGATTTATTTCTAACTTCATCCCTTGTGAATAACAAGTAATTCCTTTTAAACGTCTTATATCTACAGTGATTTTGTGCATATGTGTTAATGACTGGCATACGAGTGGTTAACACATCTAGGATGAGAAATCTGCGTGAGTATGAGCGCCTGAGGTATCCTTTTTATCCATCCAGATCATGTAGCTCAGTTTAGAAACAAAATAAGACAATTTTCACCGCTCACTGCTTTATACCCTTTGTTCTGTGTATCCAAAATGCGCCTGTAAGTCACTGGAGTGTTCGACTGGCAGGAATATGCAAGTTGACAGCTAAATTCAATCAGATCTGTCAAGAATATACTTTTTAGATTAATTCGATAGACTGTAAGCATACAAGTTAATCGGTAGTTTGTGCTTCGAGTGGATATAAATCCCCAATCGGACAAACTAAACAAGACACGAAGTCGAAGCCTATATATATATATATATATATATATATATATATATATATATATATATATATATATATATATATATATCAGAGGCACTGGGCTGTGAAAAACTGTTGTTCAATGCAAGCCATTTATCATTATTAACATAATGTGGGATTGTGCGAAAGTTTAATAATAATAATAATACTGAATGAAGAATATTCAGTCAGTGAGTCAATCAGTCAGTTGAAAAAACATTCAAAGGTGGATTAAGTCTTCATTCTGATAACAATATATACATTGAACGAAGCTATTCAGATCATCACAGTGTATGACCTGCTTCTTACTTCATACCTGTAATTACTGGTTAAGATTTCTATTCACTATTATTATTATTGTTATTCCCTTGGGTTCTCTGCAATTCTTTTCACCTGGCTCCACAGTTCTCTCTATAAGCTCTCATCTAGTCCTCACACGATCACCACCACCCCCATGTCACCCTTGGAAACGCGTCCAAATCGCCGTTTTCCACTCTAGTTTCACTCGAACGGTATCGCCCAACAGTCTCCTCAGCGTATGAACGAGCAATCTGCATTTTCTTCCGAATATTTGCTGGTTGACCGATAGATTCTTGATTGATTGGTTCTCCGCCAGACTTTCTTGCTGCTAACTCTTCCTGCCGGCCATCTGATAGTCAGCATGGGACGAGCGAAGGTAATTGTTGATGAAAGTGTGCAGTAGCCTGTAGAAAATGCTTTTCGTGATGGGCGTGCCACGTTTCTGGCCCATATAATAGATAAAAAAGACTGATTTTAAATATCGAAATTCTGTTCTTCAGGGTGAGCACAGGAGATTTGTGGACTGATTTCAAAGTGGTGAAGGTCAATCTCTTTCTTCTGATTCTGTTTTCTACACCCGAATTCGTTCTGACTTACAGTGTTTGAAACGATACTGTTTTAATATGGCAACATCTTTCAAATTCCTTCAGTTACCAGTGATCGGTGGCTGTTGTTGTTGTTGGTTGGTGACTACTACTTATTGACAGAGATGAGTACTTATCCACAACTAACACCACAGTCAGTAGTACTGACTAGTCAGGTCGTGGTTATTGAGAAACTTGGAGGCCATTTTGTTTGTTTCGGGACAAGTTCATCAGTGTGGTGTGTCTGGTTCGACTGAAATCAGAGAGCTGAATCAGATGAAACCACCCAGATTTCTGATTGGCTACTACTACTTCAAGGAACTTGTAACATCGTAAATCACATGTGCTTGTTTCAGTGTACACAGTTTGAGGAATTCAAAGCTTATCACAGTTTACTATGGAAGCTAAGATTATTCACATCACAAAACATGTAATCTGCTTGATATCATATTTGCTAGTCAACAAAAACAAGCCTAACTGTGTGGAACTATGTACTACTGATTACCTGAGATGAGTAGTTGGTTGTGTGCTACTTATACATGAAAAACATATTAAAGGAGAAAAGAAGAGTGTTCATCTGCAAAAAGTCTTTGAATTATGACCACACTGTGCTTTGTGTTAACATCATCATCAACAAGAAGTATTTTTTCGTCTTGTTTTAAAACAAAGAGAAATTGAATTGGTGAAGGGAAAACTTTCCTCCACACCCTACCCATCTCTCCAAGCCTAGTCTGTAGCTGAGCATCATTGTCTATGTGTGTGTGTGTGTGTGTGTGCGTGTACGTGTGTCTCTGTATCTATGTGATACACTGTTACCTATTCAGTGGTTTATATTCTTCACCCATCTTATTTACTGTTCTGTTCCGACAGCTAATTTAATGAGTTATTGTGTGCGCCTGTGTGTACATACGTATACACACGAGGACATACAGTGCTTAATCCCAAAATTCCTAGACACAAGTAACAATCACAGATGTCTTTGGATGACTAGAAGAAGTTTAATATGAATGAATATCACATGCACACACATACACACAGACAAAAAGCAAAGATTCATTAATCCCAATATCTTTGAGATGGATATATCTCGATGTATAGTTGGCTAACGAGGAAGGAATGTGTCCTCATGCATTCTCATATTAATTAGACTGTCTGTTTTACGTTAAAATCAAAATCAAATTACACGCGTCTAGACTTGTTCCTAGAAATACGAGGATTGTTAATACAGTCGGAAAGAACTTGCACTTGTATTTGTAAATGAAGAACAAATCAACAGTACGGAAACAGCGTGTGTGTGTGTGTGTGTGCGTGCGGAATCCCAAATCCGTCTTATTCACCCTGACCAAAAAAACTTCCGCTTGATATTGATAGAGGCTAAACTCCCATAATATAGTAAGATATTATTATTGTGTTGCTGCAGTACGGGACTGCACTGGCTCCAAAATTAAAGATGAAGAGTGAAATGGTAGGACATACTGACCACTCCTCCAATGAATTGACTGGAAATGAAATCTCAGCACAAATAAAAAAAAGACTATTGTGGCATTTTCCAACCTACCTTATCTCTGGCGTAGACAGATAATCGTGTAACCAAACAAATGACACATGTACTGCGCAGCAGTCCTCTCAGTCCGGTATTATGGATGTGAGATATGACCACTGGGAGCGGATGATATCAAAAGACTACCTGTCTTTGGTCGATGACATCTTTGACAGTTAGTATTAACCACGTAGGGAGGCGTAGACTGCCTGACTGTTAAAGGTCCTAAGGATTCTAAGATCTAATGGCTTCAGGCTGTTGATAGTTTAGGGTAAGACATTTTGTAAAAAGGGTCATAGAAGATTGAAGTGATCTAATCAGAAACACTAGTTAATCTTTTGACAAGAAATTCAAAAAAAACTTCTCTGGCTAACCCTGTTTTGTTGTAATGCCGGTGTCTTTTAGTACTACAGATTATTGAGCAAAAGACGTTGACTTCATATATACTAAATGTATGATTTGTTAGATGGTTGGGCATTATATGTAGTCAGCTCTTTCGTCGATTGTGTTAGAGGGTTTTAACGTGTTTCAACACGTGGACACAACACTTCAAAACCAATTCAAAACTCAAGCTGTTTTATGAACTTAAAGCATACAGGTATCTTTTCTCATGACTTCATTTCTATATGTAGGCTTCCTTCCCCCACCTCTTTCTACTGTTGCGACGCATAATTTGCCTGTGAATAATACAACACAACACTTATATTTGAGTTATTTTGCAGGGATTCAAAGTTTTTCAAGCTTGTCCATGGATTGATATCAGTTAGAGAACCATTTGGAACCAGTCCTGAGTACTAAACAGATGTTTCCTCTGGGTTTGAGATTCTTTAGTATTATGTAACCAACGGGACTCAAACCTGCCGGTTACAATTCAAGCTTGTACATTGTTCGGTCACTGTGACTAAATCCAATGGCTAGTGTATGAATTCTCACTTCAACTAATTCGTGATTCCAGTGAGATCAACAACCAGTATAATTGACGGGTAGTTTTTTCCACTCCTCACCTGATAGTGGACCCCATTAGGACGAAATAGATGTCCAGTACTCCCCAGTGACTTTTAATCGTTCTCTAACTGATATATTATTCTGTGGTCAAACTTAAAACTTATATCTCACTTAAATAAATAGCACACAACATTACCTGTACTCGATCTGCATAATTGTCCAAATTCAGTATACCTGATCCAGAGACCTTTTTAGTTTCAACCATTGTCCGTAGGTCAGCTAACAAACTCATATGTTTGGACATGTCTGTTGCTAGTACCTAAACAGGTGTCAATTGGAGACAGAGGGAGAAAAGTCAAGATAAGTGAAAAGGAATGACGTTAGACTTTAAAAAAGAAAGCATTTTCAATGGAAGATTTCCTCAGAAACCAATAAAGATGGCACAGGGGACGACAGCTCACTTCTTCTGGACAGCAGAAGAGATACATTTAGCTCTCATGGAAAGTACATTGACACTTTGGATGAAAACTAGGTAATAACTAATGTCCTGTTTCTGGTCCTTGGTGGTGGCACAAACTGAGTGCTACAAGTCACGTTAACAATGTAGCCACCATCAAGCCAAGTGGCTCGTCATCACGATGCACTTTGAATTATTAGTAGATGATTGGAGGCAGGAAGACCTCCACAGACATAGGATTGGGGTTTTTTGGCATTCGTCACCAGGGCTTATCAGCAATAACACCACTGACAGCAGCACTGCATGACTCGGTTTCGAGTTTTGGAAGGGACCTGGGTTCCTAAAAGACTGCAGATAAGCCTTGATAACTGGAGAGTGCCAACAACAAACATGAAATCTAGGTTTAGTCAGGGCTACTTGCCTCCCAGCATCCAGCTAACTGCACTGACGTTATGCTAATTGCTGAGAATTCGATGGTCAGTACACAGCAAATTCGACTACTTGACAGTACAGCACTACCGATTTCATCGGTAGACGTCTGTTTTTTTTATCTCTAATCAGGTTGGAAATTATTTTTATCTCAACGGCGTTTACTAATGCCCAATCTTGTTCTTCTTCCAGGTTGAATTTTGTAGTAAGTTGAGTGAAGGTGAGCAATATCAACAACTTCAGGATAGAATATAATATGATACAAGTCGAAAACCACGTACTACCGTTTGACTAAGAGGCCTCTAGTCCTTGCCACCTAGTTCGAGCTTGTCTAAACTGCCAACGGCCATTTGACTCATTTTTGGACGAGCTTATCAGTGGCATGAACTCTGTTTGACTGAACTCAGAGAGTCGAATAAGTTCAAATTCATCAATATCTGGCTAGCTACTTGAGGGAACTTATGGTGACACCATAAGTTAAATTCAAAATTTGCGATTTATTTAGTTCGAGGAGTGAAATTTTTATCAGAGTTTCCTCAGAGTTTCACAAAATATGTCCTCTACTTGAGATACCACAAATGACGATTAAGAAGGCAAGCATATTTGCACAAAACTGTATACGTATGAATGACTGAGATGAGTAGTTCTCATCACACGGAATATTGTTCATTGAACTTTATTACACTTTATGAGGGTTAGCAGCGTTTATAAACGTGAGGTTAGGAGACAGGAGACTGTAAATCTCTTTTAATAGTTTTGATGTTACTTTGTGAATTCTGCAGATTAATTTTATTCACCTTCACCGGGATAAATCAGCTGAATCGTGGAGTAAGATAATTCAGACAGACTCCATATTTAGGGGAATGATTTCTAAGTACGTTCCGAACTGGTACTACATATGTTGTCTTATTGTTCACTGAACACTTGTTATTAAATGGAATAACTTCCAAAGTGTTGAAATAAAAAAAACAAAAATGTTCACCCTCCCACAAACTTGAAAATACTGACTGTAATTACTGATCAGCTTGTAAATGAAACACTGAACATGCTCTTTGATGTGAACAAAAATCTATCGATATGCATCTCATGCTAACTGTAACTGTGTACAAGAAATTAAATGTATCTGCGGTAGCAGTTATATTGGGACAAGAGAGAGGAGGGAACAAGTTCAATTTTCTGAACAAGTGCCGAAATGCTTACGTTTCATGGTAACCTACCTTTAGAATAGTGTCACTACCACAGATTTCACCAATACAGGTCGTCAGATGGACATCAGGAAGTTGTTTACCATTATTAACTGACGAATACCTCCATTCTCCTCAGATTTGTCGAAGTAATTCCTATTAAACGCATAAAATCCGAATTACGTTTCCATAAGGAAACAGCTATCAGTCTTGTATTGCCCTGGTTGGTAACTTGATGTCTTTATTCCCTCTTCAATTGATCACATGGTCTTTGCCTTCAACCTCTCTCTCCCCATCTCATGTAGTCTCATCTCTTGTTTCTATGATTTGAGTTGTTGAACTAACCAGACTGTTGTTCAATTCACTAGTTACTCATAACCTTATTCATCTTTTGTCTATACTCCTCAACCCCTTTTCCAATGTATCTAAGCATTGATTTTTGTTCTAAAATGAAGAAGTTCCTGTATATTATTAACTATATATATTTGTGCAGTCGTCTGACCACTATTTATCAAGTATGGAGTCTCATTTCACTAACTGACATTATGTCACATTCATAAGTATACTAAAGCTGTTCTGTGCATGAATGAACTCAACAATTTCTTTAGGCTGAACACAGTTGATGAGAAGCCAACGAGATTATTGATGGCACCATGTTATTCTGTACAAACTATTGTTCTTGCTTTATTCAGATGCATGATGGCGAAAAGGTGTATCAAAATTGCGTTTACAGTGATGGAAGTAGGCGTAGAGACTGTTCTCATTGATTAGTAAGGGGAGTCATCTGTAGAAATGCCAAATAAGCAGATAAATAATGGGTCTTTTCAGCAGTCATAGCGCACAATACTGAACCTGTGAATTTTATCGTCTTCAACTATCATTGCTTCAGAATATCCTTCGGCTTAGACATCTTAGGTTATTCATATTGATAAAAGGCAGTTACGACTTCAAAGGAAAACTATCTGAAGCGAATCTGGCTAGCAGAAGATCAGTTGACAAAACTGAATACCTTTCTGTGGATAATTAATAATTCAACAGGGGAGGAAGTTTATTATTAAGCCAAAGGACAAATTGTGGGTTGATGGCACTTTTATTTTAGGAAGAATGCTCCTTGTGTATTGATTGATCAGTGTTGATTGTCTGTCAGTCTATAGTGCTCCTTATTTGAATCCTTAACATTTAACATTCACTGAACTGCCTGTATATCTGAATCCAGTTGAGCAAGTGGATTCTTAGATACGCATTGAAGTGTTCACCTTCGCATGCCGCATTCACGTGCAGCATCCTCTTCGGCGCGAAACTGCCGTGTTCTTTATTGGCACTGGGTTGTATGTATTTACCTGTTGAAAGTGGCGGTAAGGGTGAGGTAACCATTCTCAGTTAGTGTCTCCCTCAAAACAATGGAGTGAGTATTCAGCTATTGATTAAGGAATGCAGATTCTTCGAATCCCAGTCGCTAGAGATTTAGTCAGCTTGAAATTGTGATTGATGAATACCCTACTGTAAACGTTTGTCAACTGGCCCTTCTACGTCTGCTTTCTATTTATCGATGTGTCTAGAGTCGCATCACAATCTTCTTTTAGTGGAATGTCCAGAGAGGAGGTAACCTGTCCAGTTTCTACTTCACTTGTAAATTTGATGAGTGTGGTTAGAAGCTATCGGAAACTTGAAGAATAGTATTTAAGTCATATCTATTGTAACAAATGATCAGAGTACCATCAATGCACCTTTATCTTTAACCATGTTTATACCATACAACTTGTGTGTCGTGATTTACAAAATCAAAGTACACAACAGAGACCAAGAAAAGAACAGCAGAGCAGAGCAGAATACAATAGAAGAGAACTTACCAGTTCTATTACCATTCTACGCAGTGTTTGACGTTTCTTAACGCCTAAGTTAGCAAATATATCGCATTCTGGTTCACTTAGAATTTTAAAGGCCATATAAAGATGATGATTCTCCAGTACAGAGGAATCATTGTACTGTAAGGCTAACTCATGCCCTACAAATTAACAAAGTAAACGAAAATAGTAATAGCAATAATAAAACTATTAGAAACAATCACTGCTTCAAAAAAAATTTATTGTGATTTAGAAATGAAATTATTCTGAGCATTGGACAAGTTTGCCACATTCCCCCAAACTTAGACTGGACAAGGAACTGAAGGAAATCACGTGATACTAAACTATAATTACACATTGTCTTCATTGTCTGAAACCCCTGAATTATTTTTTTTTTATTATTTACAGCTTGATTGCACACTGTATTTTGGTACAAGTATGGAATTTTCAGCATGGATATTGGTAACCCAAATTTTGCAGGCCGACCATAGATATCAGGTGTGCTTCGTCGGCAGGGGATCGAACTACGGACCATGTGTAAGGTGGGCGAGAGTCCTAACCCCTGTGCCACTGACGCATATGGTATATTAAGAATATTCAGAGAATTTTGATAGGATTAAATTAGTTACAGTTAAGCTCGTGGACCATGCAGCCACCATGACCCGACTCAGTAGTTTTAACGCGAACACTAACCAATGTCATCGGACGCCACTGGTCACGACTTCTCAGTAGAACTCCGTGCAGGCAACTTTGTCCTGAAGACAGTCACTAGTGAGCATCGGATTCATTTTCAAGGCAGTTACTTTGTATGGATTTAATTTGTTTCACTTTTTTACAATAGATTTTTATCAGTTAGAGGACCATTGAGAACCAGGAAGTACCGGATTCCTTGGTCCATTAAGTTAGGCTCCAGGTAGCTGAATGGTCAATGAGTTCGCCTTGTAATCGAAAGGTTCTGGATCCAAATCTTGGCAATGAGTCTTAGGCTAGGACAACAGAAGTAGCTGCCCAATACACCTTGGTTTCCAATTGTTCTCTAACTGACATCAATTCGTGGTCAAACTTGAAAAAACAAAAACAAAATACCAACAAATTAACTCTCGAAAGGAGTTAGTTGAACTGCGACTGTTCTTTCCAGTGTCTATTCTGAACTTATCCGATATCAAAAAAAACAACAACTATAACAATCATGACACGCAATGGATTGTAAGGATGCTGCTTAAACACCTATTGACGGCCTGCTTAGATCCCCTATTATTATTATTATTATTGGTGTTGTTCCTTTGGGTTTGGAGTAAAACACAGGATTTCAACAGCACATCTCCATCTCACTCTTTTCTCTGCTTTCTTTTTTTTTACCTGGCTTTACGATTCCTGATATGATTTCATACCCTCTTAATATAATCTCCTCTGTGTCACCCTCAGACCGACGATGTCCAACTCATTGCTGGCTTGCATATTGCAATGACCCAACAAGATACATTGGCTTGAACTGTTGTTCCTGCAGGTCCTACTATGCCAGGAAGGTTGTTAGAATAGCGATTAGACTAAAAGCAGTTACCGGCATAGTGCAGGAATTTTTTCCACTATTCTGGGTCTATTAACGAAGTCCTACTGCTGGGGAACAGGGGTGCAACAGCCATAGTAAGTTGTTTCCCTCAGATGACCTGCATGCCAGCCAGATATGCTGTCTCTTCACTCTGGAGGGAGAGGTTAAGAAAAGGTCTACCCTAAAAACTGTACATTCCGATCTACCCTACGCTGGTCCGTGACCGGCATTAAGTTTACTAATACGGAACAGATCCCAGAAATCATTTCATACAGGTCATGTGTGAATGGCTTTAAGCAGTTGTCCCATGCGCTCTGAGGTCACGCAATACTAACCCTCTTTCTGTTTTAGGTACCCGATGTGGGCAGCCAGGAAGTAACAACCGCCTAGACACTTCCAAAAGCACACGAATAACCCAGGTCTTTCAGGATAGATGGTCACACAACAATTATAAGCATTGTTCCCAGTTGAAGCCGATCGAAAACCAGCTCGAATTCCAAGACCCATACCCAGGAAAATCGATCCATTCACCGCAGAAACTTTAAAGCCTAAACCGATGTACTACATCTGAAGTTTTATCCAGCATAACGTATCAACTTTCCTCCTAATGCTTTCATCTTTCATTTGTATCCTCAGATAGCAACTTGTACTCACGCGAACTGTTAACTGATTTCCAGCCTACCACTCTTCACTTCAAGGGGAGAGAAGTAGTAGACGAAGGAAGTCGTGCTTTATAATGAGTCAGATAATATGGTAATATTTTGCAAGAAATCGCACTGAGAATTCTCCCTTAAGCATTATGAAGAATAAAGCGGCTATTATTATTATTATTATTATTAGCGGCAGTAGTAATAATAATGACAGTAGTAATAAAACTAATTCAAACCACATAGAGTTCAGTTTTATGGTCAGTTAGCTCTTTCCCAGACGTGTGTTTTTTGCTTTTATAGCCGACAAGACTGTACTAATAAACTGAATTTCTGCGGCAGAAAAGCATACTGAAACGGGTGATAAAATCTTTCTTTAATTAATGACTGTACACGAAAATTTCATGTGATTAGTTTCACTCCTAAATAACTCTTATTATTTTTATGCACACCTATTGTCAAAGTTTCCTGGTGAGGTGAATTTCAAAACTCTAACTAGGATCAGTAATAGGGCTTGGAATTTATTGTTATTATAGTCTTCCTGTTCTCTCTTTAGCTAGACTCACGATTCTGTGCCATATCTTCTCATTTCTTCAACAGCTTGAGCAGCCTTCCAAGCTTCTGGCATTGTGCGAATATTCCACGTCATCATCGAGGGAAGACACATCGGCTGACCGGTTTCCCAAAGGCTTTCACCGACTAGCGCATGTCATTTAGCCTCTCCGATATCAGCAAAGAATAAGTTTGTTTTTAGTATTGTTTTGTGCTTTGAATTTTTTGTTGTTGCTATTAAATTGATCTTCCCGGGGTGTGGAATTGGTTATGAAACTGGTGAACTATTAAGCTAGGCGAGGTTTGAGCTTGCAACAAGCACATTTATTCTTATTGAATATTATTTTCACCGAGATTTACATACATTCCAATCAATCAATAAATGTGTTCCAGCTGAAATGCATATTCAGTAATTATCAATCTCAATGCCAGAGGTTTCTACTAGTCTAAACGATGTTAGAGAGGCAGGGGGTTGGAAGAGGGTTTTAGCTCATTTATCTGGTGTTTACTTGGAAACAGGAACTTATCATCTGAGAAAAACTGGGAGTAAACTATTGAGGGATAATTCCGGATTTAACATGTCAAGTGATGGAAGAAAATGTTTATATAACGATTAAGTAGGCATAATTGACCATTCATGAAGTTTCATGAAATTGACTCAATCAATCAGTGGCCATTAATTGCCTAGGTGAAGCTGAGTGCTAAAGCGTTGCCCAGTCTTATCCGTTATTTTATGTCAGTTTTCTTTGCTTTCAGAGGGGAACGTACGGCTTCATATTTGAGCTTTGAAGTTTCAGTGGCGGTGGTGTATGTCTTTTCACTCAAGCTTGTCTCTTCGCCGATCTTATCAGTGGCTAGGCGAGGTTGAGGATTGAGTCAGGCGGGAATCAAACTCCAGACCGCCTGCGTGGTTGTTGAGTGTTCTACCACTGAACCACTGAACCAAATGTCGTGCTTCTAGTCCTTGTTGTTGGTCTAGACTGGAGTCTATCGGTCAGGTTCACAGCATAACAACCATCAAGCTGGGTGGCTCGACATTATTGTTTTTGTCAGACAGGAAGCCATTGATCTATGTATGTCTCACGTTGGTATTGGCGCAAGATGCATGAAATTAGTTACTGCATAGAGGCCAGTCAAAGTACCCATTACAGTCCTGCAGGAGACCAGTGGACAGCTCGAATAACACACTGGTAACATCGCTGATTGTAGCACTGGGCGACTTGGGTTTGAATTTCAGAAAGGGGGGGGGCGTAAGTCTTTTGGTGATTACAGATATACCTTGCTATAACACGAGTGCTAACAAGTATAAAGCGTAGGTTGATTGCCTTCAACCACCTAACCTTCGTTTGAGTGGCGCCTGTTTTCCACTCTTAAAATCCGAAGCGTATAAACTGACATTGGCTAGGATGTTTTTGGCCGAATATCGCATTACTGAAAAGAAATTTAGACGATAAGTGTGCGGTCACAATGCATACTACTATTATTAGATGACATGCAAACACGAGGCAGACTTCAGCGAAATACACATGCATAAATAACCAGAAATTCAACAACAACAACAACAACACAAACCCCGCGATAATCAGAATAGAGTTGTATGCATCCACCTATCTATCTTTCTATCCATATATCTATCTATCCAACTCTGTACCAAACGCACTTAAAACGAAAATCTAAGAGATAATCTACCTCGTTAACATTACATAATAATACTAATAATGATCATAATAGACAAATGGATAATTGGTATGGCTATGCAGTGTGTACAGCTCATCGCTCGCTCTCTCTCTCTCGCACCCGCACACAAACAGACACACAAACGACATGCACATCCTCATTATGTTCTCCTGGATCGAAGTACATGCATGCTGTAAGGGAAAATAAGCTGAAAGAATAGGCTTACGTAATATTTTTTTTACTAGTGCTTTATGCATGTGGGCATAGATTTCTATGCATGCGATTGTAAATCTATTCATGCATTGATAAGCATATACCTAATTGAATTATTACTATTACTATTATTACAATTATTACTATGATTACCATTATTATTATTGTTATCATCATCGTCTAGCATCATCACCATTGTTACTCTGTGTATATGTATGTGTGTGCGCGTGTGTGTGTCTTCCTCTTTTTGTAGACAAGATGCGTGCCTGTTCGTTTGGGTGTGGGTGTGTTTTCTGCAATCGATAGCTTGTTTGATGGGTGGGTAGGTGGTTGAGCACGATACGTCAGAGGAAGGAAGCAATATAGTTAAGTAGATAGATATATAGGCAGATAAATAAATTGTGAGCGTAGAGGGCATATAGAAAGGGATTAAGATGGAATTTGAACATATCACATTTTCTTTCCTCCGATTAACTAGACATATAATAAGCAACGCGTCTGTAAAAACTGAAAAGTAAGCATTTTCAGACTTATTTAACTGTATATACTGGCATGTGTATGTGTGTATTTAAGGGAAAAATGTGAAACTTAACTAAAATCAAGGAGATAGATTCAACGACATGCCTCTGCTTAGTGTAGTTATGCTAGTCAGATAGACGAGGATATCATAGCCGAAATCAGAAAGACCAAGAAAGAACATCACTACCCTGAAATCTATATGGAAGTCTTCTCCCCCCAGCATAAGGAACAAAATTCAGATTTTTAGCACCAATGTTAAGTCAGTCACTGGGGCTCATGATAAGGATGTTCAACAATCACCCACCTTCTCTGGTTCCATAGTGAAGACGAGATAGCCAGTGGGAAGAACTAACAGCAAGAAGCTCTGGAAAAGAGCTAGTCAAGAATCTGTCGTTCAGTGAATATGTGGATAGGTTACATGCTCAGAAGACCCCACTGAGTAGACATCACATCTTTTTCAGGTCCGGACGTGAAACAACGAGTTGAGCGTGGATCTGTGAGTGACATAATGAAGTTAGTTTAAAGAGGAGATGAGAGCCTCTGTTCAGTCATGAAGCCAGGTAAGGAACGATTGCAGAAAAGAGCACTATGAGGATATGCTGTTGAAGCTCTGTTTTCCACCCAAAACCGAGCGTTTGCTTCATCTTAGAACACCTTTTACCATATTATGAGAGTTTCGAGGAGATTTTAAACTCATTTTAAATGTTAAATCCCGTCACTAACCAACATCAGTAGGAGAGATTATTGAAAACCATCGTTTCTTCTTGTGTTGGGAATTTATTTTATCAACGGGCAGCTGCATCTCCACCAGTGATGGAAACAAAGTCCCCAATGCCAGTCAAAAGTGGATGCTCATCGATACGATTAGTTAGGGTAGCGCGCTATATCATGAATTGACAAAGTTTCGAATTTTCAAGACTCAGTTTGCAGGGGTGTGTGATTTATACTGAGTTTGACCATGGAGTGATATTGGCTAGAGATATCCAGAACTCCCGGTTCAAAGGCAATCTGATAGACAGTTCAGCCAGACCGATTCAATGGCCCACTGACTCCAATTTCAATCACTACGTGCCGTTGGCACCAGCCAATGTTATCCGTGAGTATTCTTTCCCACTCCAGAACTGTTAATGGAACCACTGCTTATGATATCTCACTACAACTCCAGACAAGTTACAATTCACTGGTTACTGAACTCCAGGCCAAGTGACTGAATAGTCAAACAGCTTGGTCTCATTTTGATGTGGTTGTGTTCTCTGAGCTGAGCTCTCATAGCCGTACTAGGCGACATCTTCAGCGCATACTGAATTACAACAGTAACAATCCAATAACACACAAAAGGAATTGCATACAAACACTATTCAAGAGGGCAAGGACTCATTGCAACACTCCCACCTTGAAGAAAATTGAAGAAAGATATCTCATGGATGTCTTCCAAAAAAATGGATATCCACAGAATTTCATCAAAAGACATATACCCTCAAGCCAACCTATCAAACCAAAAGCCCCCAAGGAAAGCACAAAGAAAATCGCCCTACCATATATAAAGGATATCTCAAAAATCACTGCAAGATTCTTCAAACCTTTAGGAACTGACGCTGAACACAAACCAACAAAATCACTTCATTCAGTTCTATGTCAACCAAAAGACAGACCCAACAGCGAAAGAAGACAAAACCAACATCATCTACAAAATAAATTGTAACAACTTCGCAAAACACAACATCGGCCAAAGTGGACACCCTTACCCTTCGTCTTCGTATCCACGAACACAAGCTAGCCGTCAAAAGACATGATATCCACTCCCTCATATCACTACACACAGACAACTACGGACATCAATTCGACTGGGACAACTATTGTTCATGTAATAGACAGAAGAAACACCAGGAATGCTAGAGAGATTTTAGAAGCCTGGTATTCCAATCAAAAGAGACATTGAAATAGACAAAATTTATCAACCGATAAGAAAGAAACTTCACACACACAAGGGGTCAAAGTTCAGGCCAAAGAAACAATCAGTTCCAACACAAGTAGTCTAGAAGGTGAGAAAACACACAAAAACAACCAATCACGTCCAAGGTCACTCACTGACCAGGAGAGATGATTAATGGTGAACTCGTGGAGAAATCTAAAAGCTCACTTCAATTGAAACTGAAGTATGCGCTGAAGGAAGATGTCGCTTAGCAGGGTGATGAAAGCTTCGCAAATTAACTATCCAGCTCAGAGAACACAACCACATTAAAATCATCTACGTGAGCTAAAAACCTTCTCTATCATAGCTTGGTTTCATAACCTGTAGGTGCCTGGGGTCCAGTGCTGCCTAGTTTCAATGGTTTCTTTGACCCATGTTGCTTCACGTCAGAATCTAAAATCTGAAAAAGTCTCGTATCCATGGATGTTTTTAGGAATAGTAGAAAGTGACAAAGACTTGTTCAGTGTGAAACTTGGGAATATTCGTTGGTCACTAATCAGAGGTAATTAAGGGGGAGTTGAACTCTTTCCGTTCGTCAAGTAATTGAACATGTCCTCCAGGGGATTTAAAATATCCTATAGACAACTGGCTTTGTAAATATTTCCTTCTCAGGTTAGTGGTCATCATTTTTTGACTGAAGAAAGCTTGTTTTTATTGTGTGTTTTTTTAAAAAAAATAATTATATAACTAAGAAATGCTTTCAAAGGAGTTAAAATATTTTTGTTTGGATAAAAGGTAATATTCCAACATATCAGTTATTATTTTGAATGCATAAACTCACCGGTATTGACAAGAAATTGATTTGTCACTCCAGGATGATCGACATCATGTATAGCTGAGGCGAAAAGAACAGCTAAGATCTCCAGATCACTGAACACATCCTGTAAATTTAAAGGGGTGGACTTAGTTTAGTAGTAGTAGTAGTAGTGATATGCTTGTTTTTTGTTATAAAGCTGTGATGCAGACTTGGTGTGTGGGTATTCCCAATGAAAGATGTACCTACGGAATTATACATACACATTTGGATGATAGCGTTTATGACTATTAATTATTTATGATTATTATTATTATCATTATATATATATATATATATATATATATATATATATATATATATATATATATGGAAGTTTTCGAAATGTCTTCATGGCTAATTTAAACTGTCATAGCCAAAATCCCAGTGACCTTGAACAACCAGCCAGAATTCAGATGGTAAGAAAGTGGCATAATCGTTAAAAACAAAAATCTATAAAGCACGTTACAAACATAATATTCAACTGAAAAATAGTCTCCAGTGTGTTGTAGAAATGTCTCCCACTTTCTCCAGGGATAATCCGCAAGAGATACTCTAGCAAACCCGATATATATATGTATTCAACAATATAGCTGTAAATCATGGTATTTTACAATCCATTAATATTCCTGATTCTTTTCTTCAATCTCTTTCAAAATGCTTCGAGGGAATTAGTGTCAGTGCCGGTTTGCAAGCTTACAAGATCTGAGGGATGGGTGGTGTGATGGTGAATATAACCCAAAGATGACAGTTGGTTATATCGCATCGATTCGTCAGCATATTTGACCGTTCCTTGCAATACCAAGCGCTGAATGGTTGAAATGAATGCTCCAGCACTTCTATCGGGTATTGTTTCTACAAAACATTTGCGAAGTGAACTGTCGTATATATTCCAAGGATGCACGTCTCTTCCTCCTCCTCCAAGACAGTCAGTAGTCCCCACTTACTTCCATGACGCTGACACCATTGGACTGTAGAGACCGGGCTGTTTTCTGTCATAGATGTCGCTGACGTTGAAGGCCTTTGGAAAATCCACCAGTACGTAAATCGACAAAAAAGACAGCTTAGAGTCGGAGAAAAGCGTACCTATGGAATAAGTAAAATACTACACCTATCCTTATAAACCCACTTTCTCTCTTTGGGCATGAATTGCATCTGTAGCAGTATTTGACTCCAACAAGGTTTAATTTTTTCGCTGACATAGTCTCTGCACAAACATAACTCTTACTCACTGTAAGTCGTTCATTATTACCACAGTAGTTAGATTCTGGATCGTTGCAGAATCCACTAGCCAAATCCATAAACACAGGCAATATTTCCATTTGGAAAGACCTTCCACAGCGTCGTTATAATCTGAATGGTCCTTTAAGGTCAGCTTAGATAGACTTTGACTGCAGTTATGGTACTTTAACTTCACCGTTTTAAGTCTAAGTACCATGCACGAATATAGGACCCCAAGGGTTGAGCTTTGAAATTTCACTGACACTCCACTCTGGTTCTTTATTATCGTCTTTATCATCAGATAGAAGGGGTACAGAAGCCCGTCAGAGGGGAATCTAATCCTGAACGACGTGCATTGTTGATGAGTAGTGTGCCAGTGGACCACTGATCCCCACTTAAATGTTCGAACGGCAAAGCTTCGTATTTTGTAGCTGTACTAAAAAAGAAGAAAACTTTCCTATGGAAATGATATTTCGATATCCCCTTTGTTATCGGGTTTCTCAACAGCTATGGAAACTTCATGTGTGGGAGAAAAGTTCAACTTAATTGATTTATATCAGACTGAAACCCTTGTTCGGTGTTGACATGTTGGATTCTAAACACGGAATATTCAACGATATCCGAAGAATAACACGATATTATTATTATTCTGTTAATTGTCTCTAACAGTGGGACTGAGGATATCCAGTTTTATCGACTGAATGTACCGGTATCCCCAGGGAGTGATGCTGTGTCTATTGAGACTCAAATCCAGATAGCACCAATAGTTCCAGGCGCCTGTGGGCTGCGGCGCTTTTGAAACGATGGGCACTGGTTAGGTTTCGGTGTCAGTAGGAACAGCACCACACTCTGGAGGTATTCATATATCCATCTGATGAGTACGAAATAGGACAAAAACGCATCCTAGACCTCAATATTAATTACCATTAATATAATAAAAAGGTTGTGTGTTAAAAGAAATCACCATGGAGTCTCATTTGTGGAAGAAAAGTTGATTGTTTATCACTCCTGAAAATGCGACTACACACTGAAGGGTTTATAATACAGACTTCTAATACCGCCTACAGGACAAAGTTGACCCTGGCGAATTCCAGTGACAATTTGTGACCGATGGGTTAGAAGCAAATATTCACCTATGACAATGGTTGGTGGCCATGCTAAAATCACGAAATAGTAGAATTTAGCATTCATGGGCCAATGAATCGGCTCCCAATGGCTGAGTGGTCTATAAGCCTGTTTAAATGAATCAGGCATAAATGGCAAAAAAGGATAGTCAGTCTCTTTCTTTGAGATACATATTATAAATATATGGTATAACAGTGATGTTCACACGTCTTTCAAGCCTACCAGTAAAAGGTGTTTATGCGAGTATCCTAAAAAGTTTACCGAAGACCTGGCAGTTGGAAAGTTCAATCCACCGTTATTTGTTCAAAAATGATTCGTCATGACGTGAAATCTCCGTTTGGTACATTTTTTTCTAACACCAAAACTGATGCACCATTATCGTCCTTCTCTGTTCAGTTTATCGAATTCCATTGTTGATGTAACCTTCAAAATAGGCTTTTAACCTAACCTGTGCTTACTCTTCGACCCTTGAAAGCCTTTTTTCATATAGATTTCTGTGATACATATGTGCCTGTGTGATCAGGCTACTCGGCGATTTCACTAGGCGATTTGAATAGACTACATCTCTCTGCATTTTGTTTTTCGAAAGTCCCCTTATTTCAAGTGAGAACCTATTTCAGTGTATGACGAAATGAGATGCATACAAATCAAGCATAATACATTTAAAGAAAAAAATTACAGTCGAGGGAAACTTACATCCAGTGTTTCTGCTTGTAGTAAATAATGCGATGTCTGTAAAACATCAGCTGCATGCATTGAATTGTGGTATGGAACATCAGCATGATACGTGGATTCCACTTTTAACATATAGCGTACAAAAACGCTTGGATCTATACAGAAAGTCTTCAAGAGATCACGTTTCTGTAAAAGACAACAAAATCAGCATGTACTGCAGAATAAATCAAAATGAATGGGTTAGGAATACAAATGTTATACACAGTATGAATACCGACTTCAAGTCGAGTGGAAACACTTCATTCATATACAGAAAAGAAACATGAACAGAATAAAATCTTCATCATAGCAGTTTCTGTCCTATAAGCTATAAGCGTCATTTAATGAGAATATTGCACGGCAGAATAAACAAGCTACAAGAAGAATTAGGTTTTGTTGAGAAAAGCCTGAGGGAAAATGTTTATTCAAATGGATTTAGCCAAAAGTATAACGGAGCAAATGATGCAAAAACGAAACACTCAACTGTTGAAAAGAAGCAACTGTTCATTTATCTCGAATTCAAAGCAGAAGCAGTATTACGGAATGAAAGCTTCCTTGCAACTAAGTTCTGAATACTATACAGCACCAAATGCTCTAAAAGGTAGTTTAAACTGGATCGGTATTTCACTGATGCCATCCGCAACAGCGTTGATCAATCGAAGTCCACCTGGGGAGGTGGGGAATAGAGTGGATATACAGTACAAACGGCTTTTATTCGGCTTTCTGAGAGTTTATTCGGTGAATTACATCTGCAGGGGAGCTGATACTTACAAAATTCAGTTTCCAGACACCTTGTTGATACCGTTCATTTCATGGATATCACTAAATCCTTCGAAATATTAAATATACAAAGAGTATATCAAAGAGCCTCTTTTCGGCAAATTTATTCATCCACCTGTACAGCCAGAATTATATATAATTATTCTTGCATATATATGTGTATATACAAATTAGGTTGGTCAGACGAAAATAAAAACATGTTTGAGTCATTGTTTACGTCGTCAAAATATTTAAGAACATGTGGTGAATGATAATCAACTGTAACTAAGAGATGGGATGGAGTGAAGATTGGTGAGTCAAAACTAGCGTTACGTAAAATCAAAAACTTTTGGAGAAATAGTGTGTCAATGAAACAGCCTGGAGACAACTGTCCAAAATGAATAATGTAGCAGGTGAAAACAGTGAATAGAGGATTAGTTAAGACAGAAAGTTAATAAGCTGACACTTTTATCCTTTGCATTGACAAATTTGACCTGAATACTATTCTTCAAGTTTCCGATAGCTCCTAACCACACTCATCAAATTTACAAGTGAAGTAGAAACTGGACAGGTTACCTCCTCTCTGGACATTCCACTAAAAGAAGATTGTGATGCGACTCTAGACACATCGATAAATAGAAAGCAGACGTAGAAGGGCCAGTTGACAAACGTTTACAGTAGGGTACTCATCAATCACAATTTGAAGCTGACTAAATCTCTAGCGACTGGGATTCGAAGAATCTGCATTCCTTAATCAATAGCTGAATACTCACTCCATTGTTTTGAGGGAGACACTAACTGAGAATGGTTACCTCACCCTTACCGCCACTTTCAACAGGTAAATACATACAACCCAGTGCCAATAAAGAACACGGCAGTTTCGCACCGAAGAGGATGCTGTACGTGAATGTGGCATGCGGAGGTGAACACTTCAATGCGTATCTAACAATCCACTTGCTCAACTGGATTCAGATATACAGGCAGTTCAGTGAATGTTAAATGTTAAGGATTCAAATAAGGAGCACTATAGACTGACAGACAATCAACACTGATCAATCAATACACAAGGAGCATTCTTCCTAAAATAAAAGTGCCATCAACCCACAATTTGCCCTTTGGCTTAATGATAAACTTCCTCCCCTGTTGAATTATTAACTATCCACAGAAAGGTATTCAGTTTTGTCAACTGATCTTCTGCTAGCCAGATTCGCTTCACATAGTTTTCCTTTGAAGTCGTAACTGCCTTTTATCAATATGAATAACCTAAGATGTCTGAGCCGAAGGATATTCTGAAGCAATGATAGTTGAAGACGATAAAATTCACAGGTTCAGTATTGTGCGCTATGATTGCTGAAAAGACCTCCATTATTTATCTGCTTATTTGGCATTTCTACAGATGACTCCCCTTACCAATCAATGAGAACAGTCTCTACGCCTACTTCCATCACTGTAAACGCAATTTTGATACACCTTTTCGCCATCATGCATCTGAATAAAGCAAGAACAATAGTTTGTACAGAATAACATGGTGCCATCAATAATCTCGTCGGCTTCTCATCAACTGTGTTCAGCCTAAAGAAATTGTTGAGTTCATTCATGCACAGAACAGCTTTAGTATACTTACGAATGTGACATAATGTCAGTTATTGAAATGAGACTCCATACTTGATAAATAGTGATCAGACGACTGCACAAATATATAGTTAATAATATACAGGAACTTCTTCATTTTAGAACAAAAATCAATGCTTAGATACATTGGAAAAGGAGTTGAGGAGTATAGACAAAAGATGAATAAGGTTATGAGTAACTAGTGAATTGAACAACAGTCTGGTGAGTTCAACAATTCAAATCATAGAAACAAGAGATGAGACTACATGAGATGGGGAGAGAGAGTTTGAAGGCAAAGACCATGTGATCAATTGAAGAGGGAATAAAGACATCAAGTTACCAACCAGGGCAATACAAGACTGATAGCTGTTTCCTTATGGTAACGTAATTCGGATTTTATGCTTTTAATAGGAATTACTTCGACAAAGTTGAGATAAGTGAATGAATTCGCGGAAAAGTGGCTCTTCGCTGAACTGTTTGTTTTTTTACATTCATGTCTGGACTGTTATATTTGATGAAATATTCAAAGGACAGCAAATTTACTATGATTTGTTGAAGTGGTTGCAATCAAACCTTTTCAACTGTACTTATACATAGTCACACTACCTTGGTAACTGTGTTTAGATCTTTATTATGTTGATTAGTCATCTGTATTAGTGATTTCAGCTCGCTGAGCAAGTTTTCAGCCTTATCAACTATAGCCTTCATGAGTTGCTATGGGAACTTATAGGCTAACAGTGTTTGTTGACTAGATTTTTTTTCCCGTTTCTCTTTTTTCTCCTGTGGTCTGACTGCTTTTTCTACTTTGAAAGCAAATGAATTTATGGCAACTTAAACTGAAAATTTCAATGTTTACATTCAGGATGGCTTAATTTCTTTATAATATTTTTGTTATTACCCCTCGGACATTGTATATGTCATGGTTATTTTGCAATATTATTATTGTTTACTTTAGTTCCTAGAGGAACATACGGCTTCAGCGACACATCTCCATTGCGTTCGATTCTCTGTCAACGTTTTCACTTGGCTCCTCGTTTGACCGAATGCTTTCATCTCTTCTTCATATGACCTCCTCTATGTCACCCTCGAATTGACGACTAACTCGCCGCTTACCATTCGAGTTCCACTTGAAAGCCTGGCGTGTGATGTCACTCACTTGATGGTTTGTTTTCTTAGAATTTCGCTAGGCCAATCGACCTACATTTTATTCCTGCATATTCGTTGCACAATTGGTTCCTGCTTGGCTGGTTCGCCCCTAGACATCCCACCTTGTTGCTGGTCTTTTCTGGCTATCTGAAGTTGAACGTCGAGAGAAGAGAGCTAGCGACAGAAGCCTGTAGTTTGTTCAAAGCGCCCTTCGTGATGCACAAAGTCTCTGATCCGTATAGTAGCACTAATTTCATGTTTGAGTTGAAAATCCGCATCTTATTTTCATTTTCATGCTGAGTGTTGTTAACCTCCATACAGACTTGAGAGAGATGAAAGCTTGCCTTGCTTTCCCGATGATCCTCGCTTAAATTTATAATCATTGTAATTTCAGGTAGTTCGCAACAGATGATGAGAACCCGTGAAATAGAATGTTGATGATATCCTTTTATAGTGGAAAATTGATCTTTCCTTGATCATCGAAAAATTAATCAAGGGAGCCATCCATCAAGAGCACTGGGAAGACTATCTAGTCATATGTTGACTTTACTTTTGTAAAAGTGTAAAGCTGACAGCATGATGGCACATAAGATAACTTCGTGTGAGGCTAAGTTATTTACTGTCATTGTGAATTGTGAATTCATTCACATCTCAGTATTATTATTCAGATACATTCAGCCTTCCATATTCTCTATTCAAGCAGATATTATCCGGTGTTACAAACATTTAGTCACTCTCTATATATATTTTTCTCTCTCTCTCTCTCTCATGGAGATGAATAATGCATTTGTAGTACAAGTAAAATTAATGTACTTTCCGCGTAAATGTTGAAATGTCTATTTTTTTAGTAAACGCGATTAGACCGTAAAATGCAAATGAAGACAGAGTGTATGGACAAGAGATTCAAAAAGTGAAGTGGCCATAATCAGATTAAGAATTTTACATTAGCATTATTATTATTATTATTTCCCTTGATTCCGAGTGAAACATAAGACTACAACGGCGCACCTCCATTTCCCTCGCTTTTCTGATGTCTTTATTTACTAGCTCCAAGATTTCCCATGAGCTGTCACCTCCTAACTAACACAAACTTCTCCATGTAAACCATGGAGGCTAAACTAGTAGTTTCACATTTGAATTCCACTCAGGCAGTGGCCTAGAGCACAGTGTAATTCAACAGTCTCTTCAGTGTGTATTCAAGCCATCTACATTGCCTTCTATATATTCTTTGGGTTATGCAGTCTTGATTAGTTCATTCTCAGATATTCTTGTTCCTAATTCTTTCGGTGGGTTATTTGATCTACAGTATGGAGTTAGCGAAGGGAAATGCTGATAAACGTTTGCAGCTCACTGTTGGAAATCCTTATTAGGAGGCATGCAACAAGTTCATGACCTATGTAGGAGCACTTAATGATTTAAAATGAGTTCTGAGTGATAGAATCTTGTTCCTTGTGGTGAGTGCAGCAGACGTCCACAGTGATGAAGGTCTGTATTGCTTTTTCAATCCGGCTTTTGAGATCTTTGTCTATGCTACCTGTGATTGAGTCGATTTTGTGTAGATAACTGGAATTTCTCCTGTTCATAATAACTGACACTTGTTGTTGTTGTTGTTGGTTGGCTATATCCTCATC